GCCGAGGCGCCGGAAACCACAGCCACTCGGTCTTGGAAGGGTTGAGCCTGAGTCTGTTCCTCCCCATCCAGACCCGTACGGCCTCCAGGCAACGGGCCATCACGTCAAGGGCATCGTTGGGGTGGCCTGGGGTGGAAATGTACAGCTGAGTGTCATCAGCGTACTGATGGAAATCCACCCCAAAGCCACGAATGATCTCTCCTGTTACAGGCAATCCTTGGAATCAGTCACATCCAGTTACTTTCACATGCAAGAGAGTCTTTGTTTCACTTCTTTAAATAGGATTATGTTCAACATATGACCTTATGAACTATCTAGGGGAAAGGGGTGTAATGTGAATTACTTGGAATTGTTGAAAAAACGGTCATAAGACTCTGCCAGTTAAGAGCCAGACTTGCTGTCTACATGCTAATTATCATGTGTTAAAGCAGGAACTAATACTTGAATCCTATTGGCTGCCACCTAGTGGTTGAGTGTATAAATAGGGGTGAAGCTGCAGTTATTCAGGCTTCTGTTTAAGCCTTTAATAAAAACTAAAGATAACAGAAGTAACAGCTGGAAGTGTATTTATTGCTTCTGAAAACAACTCTGCTGGTTCTGAGAACTTGGGGATGTAGGCATAGGTGTGCATGTGCATGCCACAGAGATTCTGAAAAACTCTCCAAAGAATTGTCAGGCCAGAATGGATTTCAAAATATTAGAAATGGTGCCACAGGCAGGGAGTTTTGCTTGGTTTTAAAAAACGGGGAGAGATCGCCCGAAGCCTTTAAGCACAGCATTGTTTGGGGTTCGGTCATCTTTCACACAACATCTCACAGAGCTGTTGTGTGGCTTGAGCACATTTAAGTTTCAAAGCACTTAGTTACGTCCCAGGATATTTGCATTTGCAAATGCTTCAGGCTGCAGGGAACGAACTCAAGAGCTGCGCGAAGTCCTCTTGGGGATATCTGGCAGATCCCTCCCTACCGATTTTAATTGCCAAACTTTCGGCGCAGCTTCTTTTTTACCCACGTGTCTCCTCTCTTACTTCCCGGTCTCCCTTTCTTTGAAAGCCGCTGCTTCGGGTGTGGGAATCAAAGCTGGAGAGCGGAGCGCAGAGGAAGCTGGGCCACCCCTCCCCAACCTAAAGCCCGCGCCAAGAGGGCGGGGAGGTAAGGCATTCTTCGGGCAGCGCAGAACAGCGCCCCCCCCCAACCAAGCCCAGGTCTGCACGACCCTCTTCCGAGGAGACGGGTGACGCTGAGCGAAGTCCTCGCTTGGTACTGGGGGGGGGGGGCTCTCCCTCGGGCCATTGCGCGCGCCTGCCCGCCTGCGCGGTCTCTCCATTTTTACATCTCCCACTCTGCCTCTTTCCCTGCATCTTTAGGGTCGGTCCCAGCAGGGGCTCCCGTGGGGCCGGGAAGTGACCCCCCTGCTGTCGCCGCCGTTTTCCAACCCGGGTGGAGAGCTTGCATCCCAGCGCCCCCCCCCCCGCCTGCCTCTCCTTCTCCAGCGGCGGCAGCAGCGCTTCCCAGCCAGCCGCGTACCCCGCCTCCCTTCCCTCCCTGCCTGCCCGCCTTCCTGCCTGCCCCCGCCCGTGCGCCTTTTACTTTGCAGGGCGCAGAGCCCCCAGCCCATGTGCTCGCCCGGCGTTCCCCTGCGGCGCGCATCACCTCCAGCCCGGGCCAACAGGCACGATGTCAACCACGTCGCACGACCCCTTCTACTCCTCGCCCTTCGGTCCCTTCTACCGGCGCCACACGTCCTACATGGTGCAGCCCGAGTACCGAATCTACGAGATGAACAAGCGGCTGCAGGTTCGCTCCGAGGTGAGTGCGCGCAGCCCGGTCAGCCGCTGCGCCTCGGACCGGCTCCTCTCCAATCTATTTGCGCGGCCCGGTTCGCGGCAACTCCACGCCGCCTAGAAGACCGGGAGGTAGGCGAGGGGCACACCTCCCGGCCAGCTTCGTTCTTTTTCTCGGGCACTCGTGCATCGTCGCAAGATTTCAGCGGCGGGGTTGTGGGGTATTATAGTTGCTTGGGTGCAAGCCCCCCCCCCCATCAACACGCACACGCACGCACTCGCCAGTTGCGTGAATTGGAAGAGGCGACTTGGCCCAACTTGCTGCTGATGGTTAGGGCGGAGGAGCAGAAATGCCCCCGTAAAGCGGGGGCCACATTTTGCCCCCTAGTTCTGCTTTGGACGATCTGATGGCCGGAAATGGGTCGGGGTGTCTCTCCCGGGAGTGTCGCCCAACGCGATTCCCCCTGCTGGTCCCGGAGCAGAAACGGGCGTCCTGGATTTAGCTGAAGTCTCTCTTATACGTGGGGCAAGGAAGGAATTAGGGCCGAACAAGTCTTGCGGAATTCAGTACCTCAGTTACTTTTCTGTCACTTTCCAAGTTTTTCTCTTGGAGAGGTAGTTACATTTTTGTGGTTGGGGAATGGCAAAAGAAAGCCTGGGGTTTGGTTAGGTTGACGGAGGTGTGAGAGTTGTCGAACCAGAGGCTGCCTTGCGGGATATGGGGATCAAGATGTGACCTGCTTTCTGCCTGGTGTCTAAGGAGAATGGCTTAGATCAGGGCTTTTCAACCTTTTCACCCATTGTACCACTTTTAGGATATGGCAATATCCGAGTACCACCAGTCGCCTAGCAAGGTGTCAAAAACTTGACCTTGACCCCAAAAAAGAAAAAAGTGATAAAGTACAGGTAGTCCTCAACTTACAACAGTTCGCTTAATGACTGTTCGAAGTTACAATGGCACTGAAAAAAGTGCCCCCCAAGCCACAGTCGAGCAAGACACCTGCCTGTCCACCCAGTGGCGCTCTTCCTCCTGTCCGAGGTTTCCATTGTTGTGAGCATTTCTATTGAGGATTGGCAGCGGGGGTGGGATGGGGGGTGTTTGGTTTTTATTCCTCCCCATCTGCTGGGTGGTTGCAGCAGGTTTTGGTCACTTCACATGACCCTGGGACACTGTGACCGTCATAAATATGAATCAGTTGCCAAGCATCTGAATGTAAATCACAAGACCCTGGAGAGGCTGCAACATTCCAGCTGATCGACACTTCTTCTGGGCTCAGCAGAAGTGCCAGGATCAGCGCCGGGCTCCAGCTGGAGCCTGGCGCTGATCCTGGTGCTTCCGCTGAGCCCTGACAGCCCCGAAGAAGCGCCGATCAGCTGAAAAGTGGCACTGATCCTGGTGCTTCTGCTGAGCCCTGACATCCCTGCAGCTCCAGCCATCTCTCGCTCAGGCTTGTGCGGTGCTGCCATGGGTTCAGCTCATTCCCCTCCCCCGCTACCACTTTTCTAGGATGGTCGCGTACCACCTGCCAGGTGCCAATGTACCACAGGTGGTACCCGTACCACTGGTTGAAAAGCCCTGGCTTAGATTTCCAGACACTAAAATGGGTTTGTGGGTTTGTTTCCTTTCCAACCTGGTTGTGCTTTCTGTTTAGAATTGTGGGGCTGGTGTCCTCTTCCACTGTGAAGTTGAAGGGAAGTTGACTCACAAATGCTCCTGGAAAATGTTGATTTCAAGGTTTCTCATATTTATACAGCTCCCAAACCAACAGTGTGCTCTGATAGCCATTCCATTTCCGCATCATTTTGGACAATCCTGCTTTCCTGAAATATTTGATAATAAGGAAAGGCTTTGGCATAGCTGCTGATACTTTTCTGCAGATTTTTTACTAGCAGTTCCTAGATCCCCCTTCCACTAGCTTGAGCTTGCAAACTAGATTTTGTGATTTGTGGCAATCCAGCTTGAATTTGGCAACTGATATTTTCCATGATTACAAGATGTTTGTTTTGGAGATGGCTTTCTTTTTACACTAAAGAAAGCTTTGAAAATATATTTACAAAGATTGAAGTTTATTAGCATGAATTGATAAAGATTGTAGTCAATTGAGTTTGTTCCCTGGTTACCCATTGCCTCAGCTGGTGTGCCTGGTTCTTAGGAAGGACAATGCTAAGATCTTTTCCCTGCTTCTTTTGAGTTTTGCAGACTTCTTTAAAACTTTGATGACTTCAAAACTATGTATTTCTGAATTTTAGGTCCACCACTAGTTCTGCTCTTGTACAGGTTCCAATAGAGAGGGAAAATAAACATTCCATCAGCATGTCATCTTCATAAGGAATGAATCTTCACCACAAACATTTATCAGATGTAGGAACTTGGGATCACTGCCCCATTATCTATAAATGGGTTTACTTACAGTCTATGACAGGATTTCCTATCATAATCAGTGTTAAATGTGTGAATAGGATTGAAATGTTTGTCGTTAACATTCTGCATTTGGTAGTTAGTCTTCATAATTACACGTAGCAACTGTGTGTCTTATGGATCAGCAATCAGAATGACTTCCAAACAGGTTAATCTATATTAATCAATGGTATCCAAAGATGGACTGGCCAAACCTTTTCTGACTAACAAATATAATTAATAAGCACAAGAAAGCCTATCACATTAATTGCACCACAAATGATGAAATTTGTTAGTTTGAAAAGTGTGATCAGCGTTCTGATTTTTGGGAACTTACTAAACAAAAATGTTAAAGTGGCCCCATATCAGTTGTCCTCTCAGACAATTTGGCAATTTTGGATGACAAGGTGAGATACTTGTATTAAACATGAATGTGTCTGTACTTTATTGTATTTTCATACAGCATCTTTTGTGAACTTGTCAATGATCTTAAGTATTTAGTCCTGGAAGGTCTTTTCATGCCAGAACTTATGGGATATGATGGTGCCTTAGAACATGTGCAGAATCATAACAACTAACTTTATTTTTTTTTCTTTCCATAACATCTAAATACCTCCTTACAGGACTAATGTGTCAGACACCATTGATTTCTTAAATTCCTAGTGATTTGGGATGGGATGTTTTTCCAACAGTTGCAGCCCTTCTCTGGGCTTGCCTATGGTCCACTCTCCTTGCCCTTGGATCAAGTGGAGTAGGCAGCTGTTCCTCATCAGAGGAGATTGGCTGCCTATTAGCACCACTGCCGGTCAGCAGCCGATCCTCCCCTGTGTCTGTGCAGGCAGGCAGCTAGCTCTCCATCGACCATCTCACCCAATGCCTGAGGGACAGTATCGTCCTCAGCCCCTGGTATGCCTTCCCTGTCGGATGATTCCAGCTCCAATTCTTCCTCCTCCTCCTCTGAACCGGCCTCTTGGGCCATGACACAAAGCCTTAGTAAGACCACACTTGGAATACTGCATCAAGTTCTGGACACCACAATACACAAAAGAATTGGAAAAAGTGCAGAGAAGAACAACAGAAATGATTAGTGGGCTGGAGGCTGAAACATTCCAAGGACGGTTACAGAAATTAGGTATGTCTAATGAAAAGAAGGACTAGGAGTGATATGATATCACTGTTCCAATATTTGAGGGACTCCTACAAAGACAGGGTCAAACTATTTTCCAAAGCACCAAAAGGCAAGAGAAGAAAAAATGGTTGGAAACTAACCCAAGGAGAGAGGAGCAACCTAGAACTAAGGAGAAACTTCTTAACAGTGAGAACCATCAACCAAGCTTGCTTTCAGAAGTTGTGGGTGCTCCAACACTGGAAGCTTTCAAAAAGAGACTGGACAACCAGTTGTCTGAAATGCTATAGGGTCTCCTGTTTGAACTAGAAGACCTCTGAGGTTCCTTCCAACTCTATTATTCTATGTTCTATTTCACCTTGAGTTATTTGTAAAAATAATAAAGGTGAAATAAATAAATAAATTAAAATAAAATAATAAAATAAATATTTAAACTTGACTTTTGTTGACTTCATGAGCACATCCATCAAATGATCTTGGTAACTGTGAAGACAGTTATAACTGTCGTCTTCCAAAACGCTTCCATTTTTCAGGTGGCTTACTGGGCCTATCCATGCAAGTTTCTTCGTAGAATTTTGGAAACTGTCTTTTTTCTTTTCTGCAGAGTTTTTCAGCTCTCTGATTTTGTCTAGGGTTACCATTAACATTCCATACCATTAACATTAACATGGATTAACATTCCCAGGGTTACCAAGCAGGGCTGATCCTACTTAGCTTCAGCACTGATTGAGTAATTGCTGCCCCTGCCAAAGGAAGTCTGGAACACATGACACATACAGTTCTTGGAAGTCTCAAAAGCACCAGATAAATATGAAAGGTCAAGGCTTATTAATCAATAAAAACAAAATCCTAAAATCTTGTTTGTGGTAGAAAAAGTTTCCTGAACCCCATTTTGGGGGCTCTTGTTTCCTGTCTAGCAATAATGGTGTTTCTTTCAAAGATGTGGTGCTAGCAGTAACAAGCTTACCAGGATCAAACTTACCAATAGTAGCATTGAGCTGGATTGACAGATGTTGAGATTTCTGTCAGTCTGAAATAGAAAAAGTCCTTCAAACAGGTCTCTGGCAATATAATGAATTTCACTGGGGGGTGGGGGGGGCAAAGACAGGATGTGGCTGCTGGTCCCCAACAGCATCTGAAATTAAGAGCTCTGGAATTGTGCAGGATTTGTTTCCTGAGTAAATGTGTTTAGAATTAGAGGAACTGTTTACATTTTTCCGCATTTTTCAATTTACATTTGAGTTGGAAGTCAGGCATAAAGTAGAAATCAAAATATTGCTAAATGTTGCAAATGTATGATCTGGGATTTTACTCTGATCATTTTTTTTGTTTCGTCCTCCAAGTGATTGAGACATACCTGTACTTAAATGGAAATTGGAGGACCATCTTTCTTGCCAGGACCAAGTCAGTGTGAATTAAACCCCAATTCCATCCTTACACGATACATTTTTCCCTTTTTATAAAAGAAGCAAGAGCTGTTCTGCACATGATTGTTTTTTAC